GGATATAATTAATATCAATCAAGAAGAATGTAGGGAAAATGGATCTTGTGCGAAATTATTTTTTCGCCAAGTTTTAGAAGACACAGATACTGGGTGAGTGTGGTAAGTGTGTTAGGGTTTTGTCCTAGAACAACATGCCCCTAAAAATGTGATTGTGATAAGTGGATTAAAATCTTGCTTCATGCATCAAAAAGCAATTGTCAAGGAAATATCAAAGACTGAAGGGCTCTCTTGAAGGCCTGGTGGTGCTCAGTGTTTTCATTTGATTTGGAGGAAGCATGAGTTTAAACCTCACTTAATTCACAGGTGATATGGACATCAGATAAAGAGTAAATAGTATTGAGGGTGGGAGAGCTCTATAAAACTGTCTGGAGTTTTGCTTGCTTTCTCTTCAAATAAAATTCATTTTGTTACGTATTTTTTTATTATAATGTTCTGCAAGGTCTTGCCAACAGGACAGGCAAGGGACTGCACAGCCTTCAGGTGAGGTGGGATGGGACCAGGAGCATACTGTGGTCTTGGGAGATGCCAGCAGAAGTAGTGAAGATGAGAGTACAAGCTGATTTTTGCCTCTGCATGCGTTTCTGCATTTAAATGCAGACTTCAGTTCTGTTCTCAAAAGGGCGTTTAAAACCTGGGGAGGTTGTTAGAAAGATTCAAGGCCAGGAGAAAAAAAATGCCAGAGCATGAGAGACATAGAGTTCTCAGTCTGTTTAACTTGTCAAAATAAGATTGAGAGATAACTCATCTGCACTGCAGAAAAGTCTGTATAGTGAGAACACAAAGCAGCTCTTGGGGTGGAGAAGGGCACTAAAAAAAAACCTGATGTGTGAAAGCTGAAACCAGGCAAACTTAAGCCACATCTCCAAATGTCAGGTAGTAAAATAAACTGTGCAGGCAAATGGCAGATTCTTCATTTCTTGATATTCTTCACGCCCAGAGTGGATAGTGCTTTAGAAGATATTCTTTAGCCAAACATAAATTGTTTGGCTGAGCAGAGCAAAATCAAAGCACCTGTCAGCACTGAGAGCTTGGCAGAGCGACTCCCGGGCCCTTCTGGTTGTTGGCGTCAGCGAGGTGCTGTGTATCTTCATCCTGGATATTTGACCAGAAAATTTCTTCTCCCCAAGGTCATCCCAAACTGAAATCCTCTGTTAGTGAGGTGTTGCAGTGCAGGCTTGACTGACTGCTTAACCTCTCTTGTTTGCTGCTTAATTGGAAGAGGTGCAGGGAATAAATCTGGTGACGCTGCAGAAAATGTCGATACTGCTCTTACTCGTTTCAGATACCACTGACAAATTAAGACAAATGATTTTGCCAGGCAACTCCCACATAGATGCATTTCATTTACCTTCTGATTGGCAAAGGTGTCAAAGCACAAAGATTTCAGGAAAGGGAGGAGGCACAGCCCCTATGCCATGCTCCACACTGACCAGAGAAGGTTGATGGTCAGTGACTGTTGCTTGTGAAATATTTTTGGCTCATAGATGAGAAGTGCAGTGTCTTCCATATTTATTTATTTTCCAGGGGTGCTATCCCTGATCTGTCCTACTCTCCCAGCTGATGGGGATAGTTTAGGAACCTGTGCCTCCTTTCTGATGGCATTTCTAGTGCATATGGTGATCTCTTACCCTGTTTCAGTCATGCCTCTGGCTACTGTGGTTTGGGAGCTTGCCTTTTTAACAAAAAAACTATTCTCCTTCTGTTTAAAGGAAACTTTCAGCAAAAAGAGACTGTAGGAGGAGAAAGGTTTCTCCAAACTTTCTCCAGAATAGTGAGAGATCATTTGTAAGATGCAGGAGTTGCAGTGCATCTCTGACTGGAAAAAGAAGATGGAGGAACAAAGGATCTTTGTCCTTTATTCCCATTGTCTTGTTTTACAGAGATTCTCAATTAAACTGTCGCCATTTTTTTCCTTTTTTCCCCCCAATCTGCAAAAGCAATCAGGACTACTACAAGATGACCCACCCAGCAGTGGAAAGCTGTGCATGTGGTGCTCTACAGCTGAACTTGCCCTGTGCCAGCTAAATCTCTAGTACAGTGCCCTGGTGCTCCCACAGTGCTGCCTTTCCTTGCCTTTGGGCCCTTCTGCTTTATTTCCCTGGCTTTCAATCCGAAGATAGAATAGAGCAAGCACCTTGTATTGCTCCAAACCCTTGCTCTGTCCCAAGCCTCTCGTTTGCTGCCAGCTGTGGATGAATAGTCTTTTAATTCTGAGTGTCTCCAGGCACATCTCGTTAGATTGGGGAAATAAGAGATTTTTTTTTAAGCAGATGTTGTGTGGCTGGGCAATGGGGCATTTTTAATTTGTTTCCTACATTTATGTCCTTTGATGCTTTGACTCTGGCTGCCAGCAGAGCTCTTGTGAGGAGTAACCTGAAAGGGCAGGAGGATGAGTGCTCTGAGTGCACACGTGGAGGAAGGATGGGCACTGGTGCATGTGGATGACTCAGAGATTGTTTGTGGAGGTGAATGCAAGACAAGTGAAATGGACCATCAAGCCTGCCCCACATGGCTGTGGGATGTGCCCTCAGAGAAACCTACAAACCCCATCAGAGGCTTCAGTGAACTGCACAAGCTAAGGAGGGTGAATCCAAGGGAGCTGCTCTGCACTGACTGGGAGAACAAGCATGGCCATTTCACAAAGCTTCGCTTTTGTTGATGCCCATATTGATATTCTTGCCTGAAGGTTTGGGTTTTGAAAGCACATGAGAAATATGTTTTACATTTGTGTGACTTCCTGATTTATACAATGTGCTTCATGCATTGCTCTAGGCACACAAACAGCACAAACTGTAGTTAATGTTAACCGAGAATGTGCAAATTCGATCCCCTCAGCTCACAGGGACGTGTGTACACAGGCTGCACCATATGTGGGGACAGCAGCTGGTACAGAGCCCTGGGGCCAGCACATTTACCCAGTTGGAAACCTCATGATAGTAGAGGAAAAGGTACTTTGCAGCTCTATTGATAGGAGAATTTTTGTCTTTGCATTTCCATGTAGATATAATTGGAGAAGTGAGATAGGAAGCATTTCTGGTATCTTACGGAATTTTTTTTCCAAAGTCCCTCTTCCCACCAAGATCTAAAGAAAAGTATTTTAGGTCAAGCAGCCTGCTACAAATAACAGTGTATTTTAGGCAGGTTATTACAGATACCCTCATATTTCCAAAGTAGTTCAGAAAGTGATTCACCAGAAGTTCCACCTGAATATGAGGAAGAACTTCACTGTGTGGGTGCACTGGAACAGGTTGCCCAGAAAGTTGTGGAGTCTCCCTCACTGGAGATATTCAAGAACTGTCTTGACGTAATCCTGTGCAGTGTGCTCTAGGATGACCCTGTTTCAGCAGGGAGGATGCATCAGATGACCCACTGTGGTCCCTTCCAGCCTCACCCATCCTGTGATTCTTTGAAAGATTTGCTTTCTTTAATATTTGGCGATCCTGAGTTCTCCAGACTCAATAGCTGGGTCATTTCTCCTCTGGAGGTGGTACTCAAAAAAGTTGGAAGGTTTCTGAGAGCACTGTGGGTCAGAGGTTTGTTGCCTGAATCCAGGGTAATGACTGAGCATCTTTAGAGGATTGAGATAATTTTTGCTTTGTTCAGAAAACTTGTAGCAGATGTGTTTCAGGATGAGTGCTCTATGTGGGATGAAATCTGGAGCTTCCTAACACCAGCTACAGCAATTAATAGTAATGGTATTCATTACATATTCATTGCATAACATGGTTTGTTCTGAGAAACAGACTGCTTGAGATGGAGGATGAAAATAGCAGCTGTTAATTTCAGAGGGCTGAGCCTCTGAAGACTGCACCCAGGAGGAACCAGAACCTACTTAATTCCCTCTACGCTGTGGCTGAGGGCATCTGTCAAGGGGAATCGTCCTCTCCAGGGTTTTCCACTGCTGGTGCCACCAAGGAACATTTTGGCTGTGCCCAACCATTCCCCTGTGGCAGGTCTGGGAGGGCTCCTGCTTTGACGGCACCTCTGGTGCTGCCTGGCCTTTTCCTCCCCTCGATGCCCACCAGGACCTGCCACTCTTTGTGCTGTTCCACACAACCTGAGGCAGCAACATGGGATTTGGGAAAGGCTTGGAGGCATCAGCTGTGCCCGTGGTTGCTGCTGCTGTGCTCCCTGACTGGGTAGCTCTGGGTGTAGCCAGCTGGTGTGGCTGCCCTCTCAATGGGTAATTAATTGGTGTAAATGGTTGGAGCAGGTAGGGGGGGGTGTGCATGCTCTAATTATCTGCTGGGCCTGACATGGTGGAGCAGTGAGTGTGATCCAGAGGTGACTCAGGAGCTGATGATGAAGCAGGGCTGGGTAAGGGAAATGTTATTTCCTTTGTAATAAAGGAATTTTATATTTTATAATAAAGGAATTTATTATAATTTTTATATATTTATATATATATGTGTATAAATTATCTATTATGTATATTTATATATTAATAATAATATATAATAAATATAGAATTTATTATAAAATTTTCTACTTTATAATAAAGGAATACAGAAAAACATTTCCTATATAATAATATATTATTATATAGGAATATATATTTCTATATATATATTATATAGAAATGTCTTTTATAGATATATATCTCCTATAATAAAGGAATTTATTATAATTTATATATTAATATTAATATATGTAGTATAATAAATATAGAATTTATTATAAAATGTTCTATTTTATAATAAAGGGATACAGAAATACATTTCCTATATAATAAAGGCATTTATTAAATAAAAATGCCTTTTATAAATATATATATCCTATAATAAAGGAATTTATTATAATTTATATATTAATAATACTATATGTAGTATAATAAATATATAATTTATTATAAAATTTTCTCTTTTATAATAAAGAAATATATTTCCTATATAATAAAGGCTGACCTTCCAAAAGACCTCCTCTGCTTCTCCTTGGCTCTGTGAGTGCAGAGGCTCTGGGAACAGGGGCTGACTGCCGTTTCTCCCATGTGTTCCCAGATGGTGATGGTCGGAGGCTGAAGGGAGCCATCCAGAGGAGCACAGAGACCGGCCTGGCCGTGGAAATGCCCAGCAGGACCGTGCGCCAGGCCAGCCACGAGTCCATCGAGGACAGCATGAACAGCTATGGATCAGAGGGAAAGTAAGTCATCAAAAAGGAGCTGGCTAATCACTCGTGGGATGCACTGTCCCTGAACCTATTAATTTTCCTGCAGCATGATGGACGATGTGTTTTTCTGACTTGCTGTGCTGCAGGTGTACTGCCCATGCAATTAGAGCAGATCTCTCTGTCTGCATAGCTGGCACATACTTGACTGTTTATATACTTCTTTTAGTGTCCTCATTACTCTGAGCTGAAGCAGATACCTATTACTTTTAACCACTTTGCCTTTGGATGAGTAATTCAGGGTCAGTAGCAGAGGCTCATTACTGCTCGTAAATTATAAGCCAGTAGTTTTTAATGTTGCACAATAGTTTTCCATTCCCCCTGTTTCAAAATAGCCCTTTGGCTTGGGGCAGGAGGAAGTTTCAAGGTGCTGAAAAGGGTGAAAGTAATAAAATACATGATAGTGCAGCAAAATTCTCATATCAAGATATATATTCTGGAGCCTGTGTGTACTTCAGTAAAAAACTTAATTTTGTTTCATCTGAGTTACAGTGTCCTAAAAAATGTGTTTCAGAAAAGATTTTTGACTTCAAGAGAAATTACAGCATGCTTGCATTTAGACTTTATACCAGAGTGCAAAGCAGGGGATATTTAGGCCAGGACTTTGAGACCTGACTTGTCTCCAGTTCTGGTTTTTGTATTTCCATTACTTGAAGCCATATATGGAAATTTAATTATTTTACTAAGATGACTATTCATGGGAATCTTTGGAAGCAAAAAACCCACAGTGTTTAGAGAGGAAGGCAGTACATACCATCTGATTTTGTGCTTTCTAGGTGTGTGGCCACAATGTTTCTATACCTGAAAGGTGTCCTGTTCAAGCCAAGGACTACACTTGGCATCACTCTGTATGCTCTCTCGAGTCCTGTGTGGTATTCCAAGTACACTGTACAGCTAAAATGCTGAGATAGTCCAAAAGCACTCTCAATTAATGTAATTCTGGTGTTAAATAAGTAACAAGCTGTAAATTAAGGGAGACTTTCTTTAGCTTTAGAAGTAGGCTAATCCTGGAAAGGCATCAGAGATCTGTGCTGGAGGTTCAAAATAGTAATGAGGCACAGACTGCGATAGCAATCTTGTCACTCCAAAGCTGTGATGTACCTTATCTCTTCTGTGAGCTGCTGTCTCCAGGGAAATTTTCCTGCTACACCAGCACAGTCCTGTGGCTTGGAGTTCTGCCTCCGCTACTAGATGCAGAGGATTAGTGATTAAGTTCATTCCCTGGGCAATGAGGAGTAAGAATCTGCTTTCATGCAGGGCAAAATTCTTTCTTTTCCATATTTACATAGCTTATCCTCCTGGGAAGGGGTGTAGTTCCCTGGATGGTTTGTGTCCTCTCACTGCTTCCATCAGCTGCTTTCGTGGAAGGGGAGTATTTCTGCCAACAAAATACTGCACCCCTGCAAGTGCTGTCTCACCCTGAAGGCAGGTGACATGCAGCTACCAGCTGGACAGAAAAAGGAAAAACCTGTCTTGCAATGCAATTGTCTTTATTAGAACAAGCCTGAGGTTTGGTATTCCAGCCTTGAACCCTGCCAGACCATCCTTGCCAGCACCTCAGCCAGGGATGGGGTGGTTTCTTCCCTTCTCTGAAAAGTGTGATTAAGTGGTTCCTGGATGCTTTGTTCCTGGGTGGGATAATTAATCTCTTCTGGGAACCCGGTGGGAATTGCAGCTATCTGTCTGAGCCACAAGTGATAAGCAAACAGGGCTGAGGGTACAAAGAGCTAAGAGGGCTCAATTCTCTTGAAACATGGTGGGAGGGGAGTTTCTCTGCTTTCTTTTCCTGCAGCAAAGAATGGAATTGTTTGGGGAATAGCCTCGAGGAACAGAAATGTGTTCTCCTAAATCAGATTTCTCTTGACCTCTCTCATTTGCTGTAGCTGTCTTCCCAGGGAGGCAGAATGAAGATTCATATGTCTCAGTTAGCTGTGGCAAGTTGATTTTCTTTCTAATAAAAGCTGGGTTTGTGACTGGTTTAGATTCTCCCAGGTCAGAGAGTTTTCAGCAGTGACTGTCAAGCCCCTGGTTTTCAGCAAGGCATTGCTGTTCTAGCTCTTTCCACCCATGCATCCCTTTGGTGTGTCCACACCTGGAAAAAGATGGATTCACCTCTCAACTTCCATGTATTCTTATGATCCTTATCAATTTAAGGACTGACAGGACGACTTCCAAAGGTGGCATGCTGAAGTGATCAAAGATTTGTTGAAACTTTGCTGCAGCAGACCTAAATACTTGCCCTCAGCCATACAAACTGCTTTTAGAATGTGTTGCTCACTGACTGCTTTTTGTTGCAGGGAGCTGCTCTGTGCTAGTGCAAGGTATGACAGTTTAAGAATGTTCTGAAGTGCATGGTTTTGAGCGATGCTGCTTTCATGTGAACACCAGCGTGCATAAAATCCAGTATTTTTTTCATGGAGAGGCTTATTATGTAGGGATATACCTCTGAGGTATGTTAGGCCTTCTTTTGAATACTCCCATTACCTGAAAATGAAGTATACTGGAGACTATCTGGGCTAAATGATGCATCTCCTGGAGTTAAAGCTCATATAGCATGCCAGGAAACGCTGACATTGTGAACACGCTGCTTCATGTAAATTTTTGCCAGAAAAGAAGTCCTCCAACCTTCTTATCCAGATTTTCTATTGCACAGTTGTTGCGCACTAGTATAGGAAATGAATATAATAAAACTCAATATGAGACTTTGTAGAAGGAGAAGTAGATATTTACCATGAACAAAGCTGTTTTCAGTCATTCCCATTCCAGGTTTCGTTCCCTCATGCTCTCACCACCCCACGTGGGCACCAAGCATCATGAATCCAGGTGCTGGAGCCAGGCTGGGTTGTGTGCTGCAGGGAGGACAGGGGACACCATCTGTCAAGCCCTCACTGTGTCTGCTGAGTTGTTCTTCACAGCAGACTGGCTCTTAGACTGTGTTTTTCTTACACTTTCTAGGACTTACCTGCTATTTTGGAGTGATCTTTCACCTCAGGGTCTTGCACTTTTTCATCTTTGTAGATCTCAAGCAGCACTGCCACCTTTTAGTTCCCTTTTTTGGGGGGATCTTTATGGCTACAGTCTGCCCTTAAACAGGGTATGGAAGTGATGTTCTCTCTAACCTTGTTGTCTGTTCTTCCCTTTCATTGGAGAACAGATCTGCTGCAGCCAGGTTGGTTGTGCTTTCACATACACAGATGTTTCCATTCATAATTCATCCAGAACAGTCTTAGCACTGGTTACAAATCCTACAGCAGTGAATATTTTCTTCTATGTCTATTCTTAAAGATTCGCTTGAGGAAACAGTTGCCCACTGTAGTAAGTGCCTGTGGGGTAGTCTCAGGACACCAGGATTGCTGCAAGGATACAATTCCCAATATAGGAATAACTCACAAACAGCCCTGTGAGATTCAGCAGAATCTCAGCTCCATCCTGACTCTTGCACCATCTACATCTTGTTTTGGCTGGGTTTTGCTGCAGCTGCACGAGACCATGTACAGCATTCAAAAAGCAGTAGATTCTGGACTTGCATGTAACTTGTTCCTGCCAAACACTTTTCTTCCTGAAAATGGAGCAGAAAGATAAAAATGGACCTGGAACAAAAGCCGGCTAGCTGCCATAGTGCCTAGTGAGTGGTACTCATAGGGCTTTTGTTCTTGCTGGCTACTGCTGAGATGATTAAGTTCTGGAGAGATCAGGTGATTTTTACCTTAGAAAAGCACAGCAGGTGGTGACTAACAAAGACTTGAAGGATTGTTCTCATATTATCTGAGATGAGTGTGCAGGTCCACTGAGGAAACATCTTGTTGTTTCCATCTCAGCTCTCTTCTCCTTGTTGAGGGCAGTGCTGCCTGAGCTCTGCCTGCCCTGTTGTGCCCTGGGCAGGAGCAGGATACAGCCTGGCACAAGTGCCTCCTGCAAGGGCATCTCACACCTCTTGGCTTCCTTCTCTCTCTGGTACCAGCTCTGCCCTGGGCTGGTGTGAGCCAGCACTGGGACTTAGGCTGGGGGAGCTGCTGCCCTTCTCTGCTTCACTGTGGTGCAATAATTAACAGGAAGCAGGAGAGAATACTGGCCATGTGAAAATTCACTTCCCTTCACCAGAAATTATCATCAACCTTCAAGAATGGCCAGAAGACTTGATTCCTGAATGCCCCATTCAGGAGATTCACATTGCAGCTATTCCCTGAATGTTTCTTGTTTGATTTCCAAAGCCAGGAGACTTCAAGACTCTTTTATAACAGATTATCTTCAGGCCTCTTTTTATCTGAGTCCTTTAAAAAACTGTAATGAAACATGTTAATATCAATTCAGGCTGTAAGAAATCAGTGTCTTTTGAGATGGAAACCAGGAAAGGCATGGAGATTATTTCTGTAATATATCAAGAAATTCCTTAGCCTGTTCAGCAACAGCACATCCTTTTGTGCAGGCAAAGCTTGACCAGAACAGCTTGGAAAGGATGTGACCTTGAGAGCTGTAGTTCCAGCAGGAAATACAGTGAATCCCACCTTCAGCAACCCCTTGGGAGCAGACAGAATTGCTCACTGAAGACAGGTAGCTATCTTTTATTCAGTGCATCTAGATGACTAGTGATTGCTAAAAATGGAGCTAGCCTGGCAAGGTGGGGAAGGGAGTGGGGGAGGTCTTTGTGCAGAATTCACTGCATAGTTTTTATAGCACTGTTTCAGTGGCAGAATTCATAGAGCAGAGCAGAAGGAGCGGGATACGCGAGCGGAGTACAATGTGTTACAGCACAGAAGACAGCACGTCACAGTGCTAAAAATGCTACAGAAACTGGAGTGGCCCAGGGAGAAACAGAGCTTGTTGAGAGGCAGAGTTGGAGATCTTGCCTGGCACAGGAGGGGTGTGCAGTTGGTGGGGTTAGGGTGGGTTTGGGTCATGGAAAACCTTCCCAGCCAAAGTGAAGGCTCCTGCAGCGCTCACATCGACTTTGACAGGGGCTCTGTGCCCAGTCCCTG